ATCATGACCTGAGCCAAAGTCAGACACTCAACCAACTGAGCCACCCAGGCACCTCATAGGGTTTTTTTTTTTTTTAAGTTTTATTTATTTAATCTACACCCACTGTGGGGCTTGAACTCATGACCCTAAGATCAAGAGCTGCCTGCCCCTCTGACTGAGGCAGCCAGGCACCCCCAAAGGATTTTCTTATTTGAACCTTCAGCACTCTCTAATGGAAGTTGAATGGGCTTCTTTTTTGCTGTTTTTATAGATGATAAGCTTGAGGCACATGTTTTTTTCTAACTCAGATCAGGTTAGTGTTTCAGCTGAGCTAGACCTAGATGCAGGGTCTTCTGATTTCTGATTTGGTCAGCTCCTTTTCCAGTATACAGCCTGCCTCTTTCCTTTTATCAGTACCTGTCAGGGAATCCTGAATTAGTTAGTGCTAAACCTTCTAAAAATCTGAATTGTCTTTGTTTTCTAGACATTGAGCAAATCTACTTCTAAGAGGAGATGGATTGTTTTTATGGTCATCGTACAAACAGCTCATTGATTAAACCTGTACTATGTTCCAAATTTGGTAGAAACTGATACAGGTTTTACTTTGAGAGGCATTAAGCTCTCCACCCTCATTTATTGATGTATCTATAAGTGATGAATACCATTGCTTCATCTATACAAATAAAAGCATAATTACAAAGGAGTTAACTCTGTTAATGGTTTTCTTCTACATAACCATGTTTTATATGCAACTTGACTTTAAAGAAAATAAGGTTTCTTCATAATCTTCTTTAAGGATATAGAAATTAGGTTTTATTTTAATGGCATTAATAAATAGATGAATAATACAAGATTTGTGGGACACCTGGGTGGCTCAGTCATTTAGTGTCTGCCTTCAGCTCAGGTCATGATCCCAGGGTCCTGGGATAGAGCCCTGCATCGGGGTCCCTGCTCAGCGGGGAGCCTGCTTCACCCTCTCCCACTCCCCCTGCTTGTGTTCCCTCTCGCACTGTGTCTCTCTCTGTCAAATAAATAAATCTTTAAAAAAAAAAATACAAGATTTTTTTATCTGTGAATTATATTTTGAAATCTTTAAGATATATATTCAACAAAAGAAGGTGTAAGACTCAAAATCATTCTTGTTCCCCTCCTTTCTCTTACTGTCCTCTCTTTATTCCTCTCTCTACCTTCTTTCCATGTAAGTTAGAAAACAATCTTCCCGTCAGCCTGCCTCCACTCCAATTGTGGGCACATAAATGTAATTCTCAGGACTGGGGGGCTTTTTCTTCTTTCTGAGTGACTGACATTTCTTGTCTTCCTAGGGCCTCATTGAATATCATGTGCCATCAGTAGCATCAAAACCTTTGAGTACCCGCAGTGGCATCAAAACTTCCTTGTTGTTCCACTGCCCTAACCTGTTGCTTTTGTACTTTTGCTTCACTTCAGCCACACCATGTTACCGTATGTGCCTCTTCCAGGCATGGAAGCTACTTATAATACCAGTGGCAGTCAGATGAGGTAAGCCTCCAGCAGTGCCTGCTATGTAAGGGCCTGCAGCGTGTGTGTGTGAGAGAGAGAGAGAGAGAGAGACAGAAAGAGTGAATGTACAAGCGAACACAGCACCTGAGAGGGCGCACTAGCAGATGGTGTGGGTTGAGCATAGCATGTTTCTGACGTCTGTTTTCCTTCCAAACCTGATCCGAGATTCAGATGCGTTTTATCATAAGTAGTGACTAAAATGTGTAATCAGTACCATTTATTGAAAAAGAGTCAAAATCACTAGCCAGCTCTTTGTACCACAAGTTCCCTCTCAAGCCAGCTCTTGGTCATAGAGCCAGCTTCATTGCCTTGATGGGATTGATCTCATTGAGCACAGTTCATTTGTTCAGTTCACTAAATGCCCTTTTCCTCCAAAAAGTCTCTTCCTTTTTACATTTTTCTTTATAAAACTTCTCTACACCAATGAAACGGATTGACCACATCCTTTTAATTTTTTAAATATATAGACACAGGCTGTGTCCAGAAATAACTAGAGAACAGCTTGGCTGGACACGTCATTGCTGGAAAAAGGGAAGATCTTCAACCTTAGTCTGATGTTAAGAAGTTGAATGTGCCAAGGGAGAAAGTGAAACCCGTCTCATATTTTCCTTCTCTGTTTTTCTTTTCATGGTGCTAGACTAGAGCCTCCATTCCCTGCCTTGGTACCAAAGTCTTGCTTGGTAACAGACTCAGCTGTCAGCAAGCTCCTGCTTTCAGCCTCCGAGTTCCAGGTGTCTGAATTTGATGAGCTGGATAGTGTGGCAGCGGCATGCCCCCATCCACAGAGCAGCCCTCCAGAACAGAAAGAGGTAAAGTGCTGATAGAGTCGAGGGCAGTACTGGAAGTGTCCATCGAGGACCAAAGATCACATGATGGGTACACACAGGCCTCTGAGTGTCTTTGCTTATCACTGTTAGCTTCAGCTGATAGCTGGAAATTACCAAGGCAGGAGTTTTTCTGCTTGGCCACTGAAGACTACTCTGGATCTCTTAATCTGCATTGTTTTCCAGAAACTTTTTTCTTGACAATAGCATTTAACAGTATTTAGAGAGTTGGACCAAAGAGCTGCTTCGTGCGTTCAAAGTTGAGTGAACAATGGTATTCTTCATCTTGCAGTCTCTCTCTGTCTCCAACAGTTAACAGGCTTTCATATTGCTAATCTAAATATCTGAGCTGAATGTGTGGATTCTCTTCTAACAATATAGAGGGAGTGGTTGCTGAGAACACTGTCAGCAGGAGTAAGTAGAGCTTTGTCATAAACTGTGAGTTAGAGTCAACTGTAAACTGAGGAAGCAAAATCTTAGAGTGTCAAGAAAAAGGACTTTATGTATTTAAAATGTCTTCTAACTTGACCATCTTTCTTCTTAATCTTGAAAAATAGGCTGAGCCAGAGAAGAGGCCAAAGAAAGTCTCACAGATTCGTATCCGGAAAACCATTCCTAAGCCAGACCCTAATCTTACCCCCATGGGCCTTCCTCGACCCAAAAGGTGAGCTCCTTCTCTAATACACATAGGTTCACATTGTTTGGAAAATTGTTCGATAGAATATAATGACCTTTTAAGTGGTCATATACTCTGAGCTATTTATTATACTTCTAGGAATTTATCCAAAAGAATTAATTGATAATATGACCAGAGATTTATGTGCCAGGGATATTGTTCTGCATTCTTAATCATTTTTATCAAGCTTACTATGCCAGATTATTATGCTGTCCCTTTGTGTACATAGTCTGTTCGTCCCCTAGTGGTACTGGGAGGTCAGCACTATTGTCACCCCCAGGTTTAGGTGAGGATGCCGAGGCTCAGTGGTTAAGACACCTGTGTTAGGCCATGGTGTCAGTCGCGTGGCTCAGGTGGTTTCTCTCTCACACAGTTTTTACCCAAACCCACAGCCCAAGCTCAACATTCTGGTGCAAAATTGACAAGGGGCCGAATGTCATGAGGGAAAGAAGTTTAATTTTTTTTTTCTTTTTTTTCTAAGAAAATGCCAGATGGCATGCTATGGCCTATCTCATGGCCTTTAAAAACTTGGTTTCTAAAGGTTTATTTTTTATGACAGACATAACTGGCAACCCTAAAAAGGAAAGTGGAAAGAAAAAAAGGATTACCAAATTATGTATTTGGTGTACTATACATTACCCAGACACACTATGAAAATACAAACATTTTATAAAAGATCTCCAGAGTTACATTTTCTTGTGGTGGATTTCACTCCTTCATTTCTCATTGGCAAATAGAAGCCTAACCGTAGTCTTTAAGTAACCCCAGGGTAAATTATTGGACCCTCCTGAGCTTCAAGAATGTGTCTGTAAAGTGTAGTAAGAATTCCCAACACTTAAGATGGCTGTACAGTCCACTTGAGGAAAAAATGTGTAATGTACCTATTATATTGCTTCACACAACACAAATGCAATAATTATTACTGTGATCATAATTGACGTTCTACTTTTCCCACATCGTTTTTGTCTTAATATATTTTTATCTTACAGTTCTTTTATTGATCATCCTATCATATGTTTTTACAAGAGAAATTTTTTAATATTTCAGATGTCCTAGGTGGAATAGTACTTATTCTTAGAATGAAATAGGATTCAGAATCAAATGTATTCTATCTTGCATTTATATGTAGATATAACTTCTAAAAAAATCTTTTTATTATAAATAAGGAGTTGGGAGTGGAGAGAGTTTTAATATTGTAATGACATTCAGTCCTTTGAACTTCTTTCAAGTAATATGCCAAAAAATCACAGTGATCTATCATCAAATTATATTTAATGATTTATCACCTAACTTTTTTTGAAAGCAAAGGACTGAAAAATGCTGACTCACATAGGTTCTGTTACCAGGCATTGAAGCAGTGAGTATCTCATTGTATGAGCAACACACGAAAAAGATCTGACCAGTAAGGGTCAGATGCCCAGTAATTTGTATGCTGGTCTTTCACTTAGAGATACTTTATTTAAATCAATTAGTGAAAGAGGTTGAAAAAATAAGATTTTTAACAAACCTTAGCCTAAGATACCTAATAATAAAATGCTTTTATTCACATCCTCTTTTGTCAAAAAACCTTGAAGTTGTAGATTTAGTGCATTAAATTTATGGAAAAGCTTTGACATACAACTTTTTTTTTTTAATATACTTGACACAATGTTACATGAGTTTCACATGTACAATATTGTGATTCAACAAGACTATACATTATGCTGTGCTCATGACAGGTGTAACTACCTATTATAATACCGTTGACTATATCCCTGTGCTGTACCTACTCATTCCATAATGGAAAGCCCTAATCTCCCACTCCCCTTCACCCATTTTGCATGTTCCCCCACCCCTTGACATATAACTTAATTGGCAAAGGCAGTTTTTATCAGTCAAGCCCATCAGCCAAATCATTCTTTCTTCCTAACTTTTGTTTTCCAACTCAAGTAAGTGTGTTAATTTGCATTTATGAAAATCATACAAACCATTGAGAAATAAATTATGGAACACATTTTATAAGGTAAATTTGTAAAAGCTGTAAGTCAAAATTAAAATCATGTAACATATAAATAAAAACTTATTTTAATAGCACATTATTAAAACCACATGGTAATGCTATTTCTCATTACTGGATTTGTAATAAACCAGTGTAATGTGTAGTTAGAATAATAAATTATGAAGTGAGAAGTATGGTAGAAAGCATGATATTGCTTCAGTAAATGTGTATGCATATATGAATCAAACAACGTTATTGGACTTTTAGGAACAGTTAAGAGTCATGTAAAAAATCAGAAATAAACCTATTATTTTATGTAAATCTTAGGATTGCTTCAATATTTAATGTAGGAGAAAAATGTATTATGAAACCAACTTGCATGGCAGTATCCTATAATTTTTGCTGTTGTTAACAGGGTAGAAGTTATAACATTTTATAAGCTAAAATAAGATGAAGATTAAATAATTGAATTAAATATTTTTTATGTGATTTTTTAAAAAGTTTATTCCTTTACTGAAGGAAATTACTTAAAATTTTTGTCTGTGGGTTTTACATACTTCATCTTCAAATGTTTGATAGTCCTAGTAAACATTTCGGTTATATTTTTTAAAAAAGAAGAATTGACTGTTGAGTGGAACTTTTCTTTCGAAGTGATAACAGACTGTCAATGAGAATTGAGAATAGTTTTGGAAGAAACATTGGGTACAGTTAAATACATGAACAAGCTATGTTGGTATTTGAAGCTCTCTTTCCTAAGTAGGGCCTCCTTCTGAAAGAGGCATTGTTTGATGATAATCAGGAGATAAATGAGGCAGGGTCACTCTGACAAACCCATTCTGCAGCATATCTGAAATCTGAATATTCTGACACCAGCCAAAGTACCCTATTTTTAAAGCCACTCCTCTCTTAATGGAACTATATGTAATGGGGAAAGACCAGTCCAATACAAGTTTACTGCGATTTCATTAATTACTGAAGGGAACTTATTAGCAAGATCAGGGATTTGATTCATATACTGAAATAGCATTCAGGATGGATAGGTACTATTCTGAAAGAATTTGTAGGAATGGAAAACTCTGCATGATCATTGAAGGACACTTCTCAAACATATGACCAGAAGTTCTAGGAAATTAAAGATTAGGAGGTTGATTCCACTAAAACTGGGTATTCGTGTACTCTGTGGCATGTCTTCTGGTATACTAGTGTAAATACCACTGGTATTTAGTAGCAACCTTATTTAGCTAGCTCTTGGGGGTTCATGTGCCTTGTCGGTCCAATCAGACAAACTATACAGTATTTTAAATAGGGGAACTTTAGTATAAAATGTTAAACTATAATAGGACAGTAACCACAAGATGTACAGAGAATTCTGAGGGACCCTAAGACTGAGAGCACGTACTCAAGGAAGGACAAACTTGGAAGAGGGGCCACCTCCCTAGGTTGGCATTTAGACTTTGTTGGAAAGGGTATGGTTGCAACCCATTAGCTTGCTCTGGGTTGCTAAGGCCAGAACTAGGCACTCAGGAAATAGCAACTTTGCGGGGTGCAGATAAGCTGAGGCAGGCAGGCATGCAAGGAGGGTGCGGGTGCTACTGTGGATATAAGGCATGGAGCATGTTGTATTTCTTTCAGGAGGGCCACAGGAAACAGACCTCAAGAAGTTGGGGTGCAGACTTACGGCCTGGAGGCCACTATGTGTCAGGAAGCATGTGGCATGATCACCGGGCTAGGGTTGCCAGAGCACTGAAGGGACTACATGCTCTGTCCACACAACTAGGGCTGAGCCCTCTCCAAATGTCCCCTCCTTGACATCCCAACAAACATGCACCATGACAGGGAAAAAAGTTTACCAGAACCAGGAAGAGAAACTCCTTTCCTCCTACAGTGTTCCCCAATGCCCTCTTCTGCCAAAGCTTTTAGCATCGTACTTACTGTAAAGAAGAAATGCTTAAGAGTACAAGATTCCATTTTCACAAGAGTAGGTACTGATGGGTACATTTTGAGCTAAAAAGCAATAATTTGATAACTGGTACATGACAACATACACTAAAAATTTGAATACAATTCACTTGACCAAGAGTTGTTCCTTTTAAGGAGAGATTTGAATAAATGGAAAAGTTGTATTTAATGCAATCATATGGAAAAATAAAGAAGCAAGAATAGCCAGGAAAATTCAGAAAAGGAGTGAAATAAGAGAGGTACTAATCCCAAAAGATACTACAATATATTGTAAAGTCTTAATAGATAAGAACAGTGTAGTGCCAGAGCATAAGCATACAAATTGGTAAATTAAAATAGAAAGTCCAGGGGCACCTGGGTGGCTCAGTTGGTTAAGCGACTGCCTTCGGCTCAGGTCATGATCCTGGAGTCCTGGGATCGAGTCCCACATCGGGCTCCC